CTCCTCCCAGTGAATTATCTTGGTACAAACTAATGTTAGGTGCCAATGGCAAAGGACTTCCTCACTGTCTATGTGACCCAAGGTGAGAAAGAAAAGGTTAGCACAATTTCAGTCAACTTAATAGCAAAACCTACCTTTTGTTTTAAATGAATAAAAACAATGCAGTATCCCTTGGGTGATTGCCAGATGAAAAAGACTGAGGAGGTTTGTGTAATAATTGTCATTACTTGTACCATAATACAGAATTTTATATTTGGAAAACATTTCACAGCCATAAACTTAATTCTAGAAATTCCTGCGCCAAAGGCAGAGCATCTCTTAGATGAGAAATTTGGGGACAAGAGCAGGAAGTGACTTGGCTCAATATGAAGCAAAGGCAAGTAAATAAATAAAGGAACACGGGGGGAGGGGGGATGCTCAGAGTATTCAGAAGATGAATTTTCTTCTTGTTTAAACGGAGAAGAATGTCCATGGCTTCACAAGTGATCCAGAGAGCCGACAGGAATAACACATAGTCCTAGCATGTGACACTCTCCTCCTTTTCATTATTGCTCTCCTAAACGTTCTGGGGCTTTTTCATAAGAGTAAGAATTTTAAAAGTGTGTAACCTATGGAGGTGTTTATTTACCTCCTTTCAGAGTGATGCATACCAGAGCTCTTGTTAAATGAAGTTTTAACACTCACAAGCCCTCACTTAACCTAAATGTGACTTTGGAATTGAGACGCTAATGTCACCCCCGTCTACTGATGATAAACTGTTTCTAAAAAGTTTTTCAGTTGCAAAAGCAGTTTCACACATGACATCTGAGACTTGCTGTGTTTTGGAGGAAAGACACTAGGCAAATTCAAAGACAGCACAACCTTGTTTTTGCTTTAGCAAGTCCCTGTACTAGTAGCAACCGGAAAGCTGCAAATATAAATAAATAGAGCTAAAGGATTCTGCCAGAACTAGCTTTTGCCTCTTTCCACCTCAGTTTGCTTGTCAGTGATGGAAGGAACTGAATTAGATCTTCTTTAATGGCCTTTCCAGCTTCAGAATTCTTTATCTGTTCTCTATATTCAACTCGAGTTTTTTATTTGTTTGTTTTAATTCCTTTGGGTATAGAACTTAAAAGAAAGCAAGCAAGCCAGGGAACAAAACACAAAAAGCAAAGATCAGGAAAGGGAAACAAGAGCAAGAAAGAACTTGGAGAAGAATGAAAGGAAATAAGCTTATAGATAAGTAATGGGGTGAGAGAACTGTGGGAGGTGTACTAATTTCCTGTATCTCATATTAAATATGAGGGAGAAATAACTGATGATTTGCAATGTCATTCTGTAAATAGTGTCAGACTTCATAATCTCTGTTTAATTTCCTTAATAATAACACACCAGGTGACCACACAGTTCATTCTGTGCTACAGGCAGAGACCACGATGACCCAGTTTGGTGGTGCTGGAAGGAGAGCCATTACTGGTTAATGAAGAGGAATCAGTGTCAGCTACAGCCTCTGTTCATGGTGGGGTGAAGAACTTCACTGTGTTGATGCTTTTTTGGGTGAAGTAATGAGTTCATGCCTTTTCTCCCTGCAGCACATTCATTCTATAACATTCTGACCCAACCACACTTATTGGTAACAAAATAACAAGTTTCCCATCAAGATTTTCTGCAACTGACTACATTGTAATTGATCTGAAAGTCTGTAGGAATTACAATTTCTGTTTCTAACTCTATTCAATAGTCAGCAGTGGTTCTTTTTTTTTTCTTTTAACGTACAAAATAACAAAAAACACTCAGTTATGTTGTGTGTCACACTCTGGTCTCTTGAAGACAGGAGTTGAGTGAGGTTGGGCATTCCTTCTGTTGTGGGTAATTGTAAAATGTTTCATTTCTTAGGGGGCTGTACATAACATATTAATAAATCATGGATTAAACTGGCTCTGGAAAGGATTGCAAAGCATTTTCAAGGCAGAATTGCCTGATGTGGGGCAGGCTCTCTGCAACCATTGGATAAAACCCTGCAGAGGACTCCAACTCTTGGGGGTGGGCGTGGCTGGGAGGAGACCCCAGGCAGATGTTCTTCTCCAGGCCAGTGAGATGATGGCCTGTGATGGACACTGCAGCCACGATCCAGGCAGGGTGGCTCTGCATGACTGTGCCTCAGAGGCAGCTTCCCCAGCTCTTTGGAAAGAAATCTCATTATTCGTAAGCTCTTGGTCTGTCAGCTGCTACCCAGAGCTTAGCAAATCCTAAAGGTAGCTTTTGTGCCGTCTTTGTTTATGAAAATCATACCCTGGTACCGTCCTTCATTGGTGTGCAGCTTTTTCCATAGACTGCCTCTTAGCTTATGCAAGAGGGAAAGTAGTTGGATCAGTCATTGGAAAAAAGAGTTATTTTAAAAACCCTTATACATATGTACCATCAACATTTTCTTTTAACCTAAAATATAAAATTGTGCCCTCATTCAGGAATCATTTGATGTAAGAAAACAAAAGTCTTTCTTTGAATCTAGGTCTGATGTTGGAGTTGTCGTTCATAAACCACATTTATAATGCATCATCTACAATGTCCAGTTTGTGGTTTTCTTAAAGTTATGGTTTTGTTAGAGGAGAGCAAGAACTTAAAGACACTTGAAGAGTAATCTGAGAACAGAGGCCTCCAGATCATTATTCTTTCCCCCCAACTTGTACAGTTGTTTCACTCACACATAATGCAGCAGCACTTCTAGGAGCCCCCTTTGTCACGCCTTTTCAAAGCAGCCTTCTTCATTTTCCTACTAACAGGTCTCTCCCTTTATACATATATTTCATTACTTCACATAATATTTAGTTAAATTGTGTAAATCCATTAAGTCTGGCAGGGCATACACAAGTTTGGGATCAAACATAACTGATTCTTGTTAAACTTACAGCTTGACTAGTCAGAGGAGAGACAGAAAAGCTCTGGAGAGAGGCCTGCTCACTGTTGGCTCTCTCAGTGTGCAGAATGTGACTATGTTTGGAGATAGGGCCTGTAAAGAGATAATTAAAGTAAAATGAGGTCGCTAGTGTGGACCCTAATCCAATACGACTGGTCCCCTCATAGAAAAGGAAATCAGCCACAGACACAAATAGAGGGAAGACCATGTCAAGACACAAGGAGAAAATGATCATTTACAAGCCAGGAGGAGAGGCCTGGAACAGATCCCTCCCTTACAGTCCTTAGAAGGAACCAAACCTACCAACACCTTCATCTTGGGCTTCTGGCTTCCAGGACCATGAAAAAACAAATTTCTGTTGTGCAAGCCACCCAGTCTGTGGTACTTTCTTACATTAGCTCTAACAAAAGAAAACAGAAGTCTTTAAGGAGAAGAAGCATTGGGTGTGGGCTGAGAAGGAAGGGTGGTCTATCGGTAGCCCAAGACGAGAGGAAGGAAACTCCTGGCAGGTGGAATAACAAGAACAAGGACTGGGAGGTAGGCAAGCATTCGAGAAATAATGAACAGACCATGAAGCTAGGGGACAGAGCAGATGTCAGGGAACAGGAAAGAATAGTCTGAGAGAGGTAGGTCGGATCCTCAGAGCCTTGAGGGCCATCCGTGGGCAGTGGGGACTCACTGAAGGCTTTGGAGAAGTAATATGGTCAAAGCAGCATTTTGGAGACATTCTCTCGTACAGAGTGGTCAGAGAAAGCTGGTGCATGCCAAAGTCCTCTGTGGCTGCCAGCAGCACGACACGACAGGCCCCCCGGCGTGGCCCACAATACTGCTCAGGAGTTGCATGAGCAGAATTGGCTTCAGAGCCAGGACCCACAGCTGCGGGACAGTGGGACAGCATCCTGCCCCCCTAAACTCCATCCCTCACTCCCCGAAAGAGAGACTTTCCAGGCTTCTTGACACTGTTTGCTTCTTAGTCAGGCAGGGAGTGGACAAGGTGAGCCTCAGAACTCAGGAAGCAGCCTGGCCCTGGCTTCCGAGGAAAGTCCCAGGCCACCCACGGTGGGGAGCGAGGCTTCCGTCCATCGCAGGTTCACGTGACGCCTCTCGCGGAGGTGCTGGAGTCAGAACTCAGGAAGCAGCCTGGCCCTGGCTTCCGAGGAAAGTCCCAGGCCACCCACCGTGGGGAGCGAGGCTTCCGTCCATCGCAGGTTCACGTGACGCCTCTCGCGGAGGTGCTGGAGCTGAAACACTGTCTTATGTTGCATGCAAGATAGGAACTCCTTGAGGACCCATCAAATTGTTGGTGCTTGATAAGTATTTTTGAATAAATGCAGTAATGACCATTCCCCTAGTTTTGATAATGCTGGTAGCCTGTAGCATTAGGTTTCTCAAACATCCATTGACATTGTCTGCTCTAGAGCCTTGTGACACTTTAAAAAATGACTGCCCAGAAAAGGCTCGGTTAAGGACAAGTCCCCGCCAGGAGACACTCTGATTCAGCAGGT